ACTAATTATAGATTTCTAAACCTTATAACTTAAAATTCTAAAGATTAAAAAATGTTTTGACCCCTAAAACCCCCTAAACCCTTATAATTAAACCCTAATAGAACATAGTTAACCCAAACATAAATAATATAAAGAAAAAATTATTTTGAAAAGTGACACTTGAAAAGTGGCATTTTTTTAAATTTCTCTTTAATAATCATTTATATAAATAACTAATGAATAGATTTTAATTCATTTGTAACTATATATGGCATTATACGTTTGTGTCTACAATATTTCTATAAATTCATATTAGAATAAATGTTTTCAGAATTTTAGCAACTAAAATATTTTTTTACCAAACAAGATTTGTGCTTTTCGAAAAAATAATGACATCTTCCATATTCGGATTTTCTTACTTAAATTTAATTATGCATATAATTAAAATAAAACATTTTATTTTTTAATATGAGTTTAAACATTTTAGTGAATAAAAAAATTATATTGAAGTATAATATTTTAAAAGTTATATTTTCACATTTAATCATTTATATAAATAATTAAAGAACAAATTCTAATTCATTTGTGACTATATATGGCATTATACGTTTTTTGAATAGTCACATTAATAAACATAGCAAAATAAAAGAAAAAGAATACAACACTACTCCATTTCAATTATGGTATATATGTACATATATAACATGTTATATGTAAACGTCTATCCTAACTTTATCAATTATGGTACATATTTACATATATATACTATGTTATACATATACGTGTACACTAATTTTTATCAATTATGGTATACATGTACACGTGTACACTAATTTTTGTTAGTTAAGGTATATATGTACATACACAACATACATAATGAACGTATATTTCAAACTACTCCATTTCATATTCTTTGACTAAGAGAAAATCAAAGAAAAAGAATCTTTGACGGGTTAATCCATACATATTATTTAGAAAAGTACATACACTTTCAAAGTTTTTGACGGGTTAACCCATACATATCTTCACTATGTTAGAAGAAAAATCAAATTGCATATTTTGTTTTGCTTATAATTTTTTTTTTTTTGTACTGAAAAATTACTAGCGGGTAGCCGCAAACAAATACCACCATTT